ATGTCAGCACAGAGCTGAACACAGGGTTCAAACTCATGAACTGTGAGATCATTACCTGAACCGAAGTCAGACACTTAACCAACTGAGCCACTCAGGTGTCCCAGTAAAGTAGTATTTTTAAATTAGAAAAATAAAAACAGTACAAAATCCTAGCCCATTGTTAACTAAACTTATAAGAAAAGGTATAAAAGTTTTGTTCAAAATACAATAAACTAAGCAGGTGTTCTCAAGTGTTTCTACATATTGGTCACTGTGGTTATATTACAATACTATATTTTATTAGTCTATTTCTATATATTTTTGTTTGTATTTGCCTTTTCTCTCATAGTCTTCATATCCTGTTTAAGAATCCTAAAAAGTAGGCACAAGAGCTCAATAAAGAAAATAACTAAATATTTGAGTATATAATGAGGGTAAATTGTCTTTAGTGAACTACACAGTCTAAGAGAAAATGGAAGATTAAAAAAAATGAAGTAGCACATGAATTTGGCCTGTTATCACAGGAATTTCTTCTTGAGACAACACCCTTTGGGGTGATGTCCTTCTCTTGCATCCTTTCTTGTTGCTAGGATCTTTTCCAGCATAATAGTACTGATATAAGTTTTGTTTGGATTTTCTTTTTTCTTTTTTTTATTTTTTTAACGTTTATTTTTGAGAGAGCATGAACAGGAGAGAAGCAGAGAGAGAGGGAGACACAGAATCCAAAGCAAGCTCCAGGCTCTGAGCTGTCAGCACAGAGTCCGAGGCAGGGCTCAAACCCATGAACCGTGTGATCATGACCTGAGCCAAAGTCAGACTCTAAACCAACTGAGACATCCACGTGCCCCTAGATTTTCTTTTTGAGGGGACAGGTTGTGGAAGAGGTAGGATAAGGAGCTGTGTGTTATAGATGTTGGGATTTTCCAAAGAGAGAGCAACATTCCTCTCCAAAACAGTTTCTCACAAACTCTAAGGAGAGATAGAGTGAGAAACCTTAGTTGAGTTTAATCTTACAACGTTGTTTCCTGCCATAGTTTAAAACTGAAAACTCATGTTGAAATTAGTAATTAAAGACATTTCATACTCACGGATTTAAAGAACAAATGTTAAGGGGCGCCTGGGTGGCGCAGTCGGTTAAGCGTCCGACTTCAGCCAGGTCACGATCTCGCGGTCCGTGAGTTCGAGCCCCGCGTCAGGCTCTGGGCTGATGGCTCGGAGCCTGGAGCCTGTTTCCGATTCTGTGTCTCCCTCTCTCTCTGCCCCTCCCCCATTCATGCTCTGTCTCTCTCTGTCCCAAAAATAAATAAAAACGTTGAAAAAAATTAAAAAAATAATAAAGAACAAATGTTAAGATGTCTATACAACCCTTGGGGCACCTGGGTGGCTCAGTCTGTTGAGTATATGACTTCGGCTCAAGTAATGGTTTCACAGTTTGTGAGTTCAAGCCCTACGTCGGGGTTTCTGCTGACAGCTTGGAGCCTGGAGCTTGCTTTGGATTCTGTGTCACCCTCTCCCTCTCTCTCTCTCTCTGCCCCTCCCCACCTAGTGCGCTCTCTCTGTCTCTCTCAAAAATAATTAAACTTTAAAAATTGTCTATACTACTCAAAGCAACCAACACATTGAATATAATTCCTATCAAAATATTAACAGCATTTTCACACAAGTAGAACAAGCAATCCTAAAATTTATATGAAACCACAAAAGGCCCTGAATAGCCAAAGTAATCTTGAAAAAGGAAGGCAAAGCTTGAGGCATCAAATTCCGAACTTCAAGTTGTATTACAAAGCTGTAGTGATCAAAACTGTATGGTATTGGCAAAAAAAGAAAAAAAAAGATACATAGATTAATAGAACAGATAGATAACCCAGAAATGAATGCACAACTATATAGCAAATTAATTTTTGACAAAGCAAAAAAATATATCCAAAAGGGGAAAAATAACAGTATCTTTAACAAATGGTGTTGGGAAAACTGGACAGCAACATGTAAAAGAATGGAGCTGGACCACTTTCTTATACCATACACAAAAATAAATCCTAAATGGATTAAAGACCTAAACATGAGACCTGAAACCATAAAAATCCTAGAGGAGAATATAGGCAGTAACCTCTTTGTCATCAACTATAATAACTTCTTTTTAGATTTGTCTCCTTAGACAAGGGAAACAAAAGCAAAAATAAATAATTGGAACGTCATCAAGATAAAAAAGCTTCTGCATAGTGAAGAAAACAATCAACAAAACTAAGGGACAACTAATGGAATGGAAGAAGATATTTGCAAATGACATATCTGATAAATGGTTAGCATCCAAAATACATAAAGAATTTATACAACACCCACAAAATGAATAACCCAATTAAAAATGGGCAGAACATTTAGGCTCTTTCCATAATTTGGCTATTGTTGAGAGTGCTGCTATGACTGGAGAGTGTGATGCTAAGTGAAATAAGCCATACAGAGAAAGACAGATACCATATGGTTTCACTCTTATGTGGATCCTGAGAAACTTAACAGGAACCCATGGGGGAGGGGAAGGAAAAAAAAAAAAGAGGTTAGAGTGGGAGAGAGCCAAAGCATAAGAGACTGTTGAGAACTGAGAACAAACTAAGGGTTGATGGGGGGTGGGAGGGAGGAGAGGGTGGGTGATGGGTATTGAGGAGGGCACCTTTTGGGATGAGCACTGGGTGTTGTATGGAAACCAATTTGACAATAAATTTCATATATAAATTTAAAAAAATAAACAAAAAATAAAAATGGGCAGAAGACATGAATAGAAATTTTTCCAAAAAAGACATACAGATGGCAAAGAGACACTTAAGATGTTCAGCATCACTCATCATCAGGGAAATACAAATCAAAATTGCAATGAGTTATCACCTCACAACTGCCAGAATGGCTAAAATAAACAACACAGGAAACAACAGGTGTTGGTGAAAATGTGGATAAAGGGGAATCCTCTTACGCTGTTGATGGGAATGCAAGCTGGTACAGCCACTGTGGAAAACACTTTTGAGTTTCCTCAAAAAGTTAAAAATAAAACCACCCTATGGTCCAGCAATTATACTACTAGTTATTAATCCAAAGGATACAAAAATACTGATTCAAAGGGGCACATGGACACCAATGTTTATAGCAGCATTATCCACAATAGCAAAAAATATGGAAAGAGTGCACATGCCCATTTACTGATGAATGGATAAATAAGAGGTGGTATATGCACAAGGGAATATTACTCAACCATCAAAAAGAATGACATCTTGTCATTTGCAATGATAAGGATGGAGCTAGAGTGTATTATGCTAAGCAAAGTAAGTCAGAGAAAGACAGATCCTATATTATTTCATTGAACTGTGGGATTTAAGAAACAAAACAGATGAACATGGGGGAAGGGAAGGAAAAATAAATTAAGATAAAAACAGGGAGGAAAATCATAAGAGACTATTACCTATAGGAAACAAACTGAGAGTTGCTGAAGGGGAGGTGGGTGGGGGAATGTGCTAAATGGGTGATGGGAATTAAGGAGGGAACTTGTTGGCATTAGCACTGGGTGTTATATGTAAGTGATGAATCACTGAATTCTAAATACTACACTATATGTTAACTAACTTGAATTTAAATAAAATCTTGGAGGAAAAATAATGAGCGGCACCATTTCCTGGTTAAAAAAAAAGTTAAAAATAGTAGTATCCTATGATTCAGCAATTGCACTACTAGCTATTTGCCTAAAGAATACAAATATACTAATTCAAAGGGATATGTGCACCCAATGTTTATAGAAGCATTATCTACAACAGCCAAATTATGAAAATATCCCATGTCCATCAACTGATGAATGGATAAATAAGAGAGTGTGTATATATATATATATATATATATATATATATATATACACACACACACACAATGGGGTATTAGCAATAAAAAATAATGAAATCTTGCCATTTGCAAAGACATTGAGCTAGAGAGTATTATGTTAAGCAAAATAAATCAGTTCAAGAAAAACAAATACCATATAATTTCAGTCATATGTTGAATTTAAGGAACAAAACAAATGAGCAAAGGGGAATAAAGAGAGAGGGAAGCAAACCAAGAAACAGACTCTTAACTATAGAAAACAAACTGACGGTTGCTAAAGGGAAGGTAGGTGAGGGGTGGGTTAAGTAGGTGATAGGGATTTAGTAGTGCACTTGTGATGAGCCCCAGGTGTTGTATGGAAGTGTTGAAACACTATATTGTATACCTGAAACTAATATTACACTGTATGTTAATTGGAATTTAAATAAAAACTTTAAAAAAATAAAATAATTAGTAATTAATGCATAATATGCCTATATCTTTACATGTTTATTTCATCTGTGGACATTAATCATATATTTTGCATTGATTCTGTAGCTTTTATCTCTTTTATTAATATTTTGTAATTTTTGATTGTGGAGACAGCACATCTTCAAAGTTTTGTAGCACTAGGTACCATAAAATGCCATTTTACGACTCTCCAGTCATTAAAATATTAGTACTACTGGAGCCGTGTCAAGAATTCTGCTTACTACTTGGGGATTATGTGATCATCATGTTGGGGTTTAATGGATGAAGGCTAAATGCAACATGGCCCTGTGTTTTATTTGACCATATGATCATTTAGCACTGTAATGTGAATCCAGTACAGCTGTCAATTCTGACTTTCCAATTAATTTAGAAAATATGCAACCCTATATCTAATTTCCTAAGCAGAAATGATATAGGGAATTTTTTTTTTTATTTTTAAAAAAAAGTATGAGAGCTCTTTCTGCCTAGGTGATCACCTCCTGCTTTAATTTTGGGATTAGCAGCCTAAAATTAATACTTAAAGATAATAAATAAAAACACAAAATTTTAAAAATAAAGAAAAATCTAAAAAACATTTAAATTAAATTAAATTAAATTAAATTAAATTAAATTAAATTAAATTAAATTAAATTAATTTTATCTTGGCACAGAGCAAGCGGGAAGTTACTTAGCAAGGTTCCGGGTTTCCTCACGCCCCGCCCGCCCTACCACAGCTAAATGGTTTTCGTCCTTGGGGTGCTCTGTCCTGCGGAAAGGAATCCGTGTCCATCTGTCCCAGCTCTGCCCGCCCGCCTCGCATCTACCCTTCTCTTCTGACTCCGCCCCACATCTGTCCGGAACCGCCTCCCGCTGAAGCTGACCCAGTGCGCGTCCGCCAGTCAGTCCCTCCGGACCTGCCGCGAGTCTCAGACTGCCGAAATTACCGCGCGTCACTCGGTCCGTACCCGGTGGGCATCTGGGGTATCTGGGCGGTCTTCCGTCCCCAGCGTGTGTGTCTGTCTGTCTGTCTCTCTGTCTGATCCGCCTTCTGCAGCCTGCCTTCCGGCCCCAGCGCACCAAGTGTTTAGTCTGCCCTTTCACTGACGCTGAGTGTGTTTAGCGGCCTTAGCTGCTAGCCCGCCTGAGACCGGCCAGGCAGCCGGCGGAGGAATACACGTTTGGCCCCTGTCCAGGTTAAGAGAATTTTAAGCCAGTAGGAGCTCGAGGCCTATATTTATGCTGAAAACGGGTCTCGAGGCCTCTGTAAGCCAATGCGAGATGTGGGGGGCCCAGCCAGCTGCTTGATGATTTCTTACAATTAAATGAGGAACAGAGAATTTCTTTCTTACTACTGGCTTTTAAAACAGATTTTAAATCTTAATGGGTGGAAATTATAAGTTCTTTAGGTAGAACAGATTCGTTATTGGGATGCATTGTTGTCTGATGTGTTTGTTCTGAGTCCGCTGACCAGCTGTTTCTGAACTTCATTTTCTCAGCCTCAACAGTGATTCTGAAACTGCTTTTAGCTTCCTTCGCCTTGGCTTTCTTCTTTTTGTGAACAGCTGCTTGGCCCATAGCTTAGAGAAATCAGCCTTTTTTTCTCTCCCGCGAAAGCCTCCTTCCTGTGCTTAGAAAGATGGGGAGTGGAGAGCCTAATCCTGCTGGCAAGAAAAAGAAGTACCTCAAGGCTGCCCTGTACGTGGGTGACTTGGACCCAGATGTTACTGAGGACATGTTATATAAAAAGTTCAGGCCTGCTGGCCCTCTGCGCTTCACCAGAATCTGCCGTGACCCTGTGACCCGCAGCCCCCTGGGCTATGGCTATGTTAACTTCCGCTTTCCTGCAGATGCTGAGTGGGCCCTGAATACCATGAATTTTGATTTGATTAATGGCAAACCTTTCCGCCTCATGTGGTCTCAGCCAGATGACCGCTTAAGAAAGTCTGGAGTTGGAAATATATTCATCAAAAACCTGGACAAATCCATAGATAATAGGGCCCTTTTTTATTTATTTTCTGCTTTTGGGAACATTCTCTCCTGCAAAGTCGTATGTGATGACAATGGCTCTAAGGGTTATGCCTATGTGCACTTTGACAGCCTGGCCGCTGCCAATAGAGCCATCTGGCATATGAATGGGGTGCGGCTCAACAACCGCCAGGTGTATGTTGGTAGATTCAAATTCCCAGAAGAGAGGGCAGCTGAAGTCAGAACCAAGGATAGAGCAACTTTCACTAATGTTTTTGTTAAAAACTTCGGAGATGACATGGATGATGAAAAACTGAAGGAAATCTTTAGTGGATATGGGCCAACTGAGAGTGTTAAGGTAATAAGAGATGCTAGTGGGAAATCTAAGGGCTTTGGATTTGTGAGGTATGAGACGCACGAGGCTGCCCAAAAGGCTGTGTTAGACCTGCATGGAAAGTCCATCAATGGGAAAGTTCTGTACGTAGGGCGAGCACAGAAGAAAATTGAACGATTGGCTGAGTTAAGACGAAGATTTGAACGGCTGAGATTAAAAGAAAAAAGTCGGCCTCCGGGGGTGCCTATCTATATTAAGAACCTGGATGAGACCATCGATGATGAAAAACTGAAGGAAGAATTTTCTTCCTTTGGATCAATTAGCCGGGCCAAAGTGATGGTGGAAGTAGGGCAAGGCAAAGGGTTTGGTGTTGTCTGCTTCTCCTCTTTTGAAGATGCTACCAAAGCAGTGGATGAGATGAATGGTCGCACAGTGGGCTCCAAGCCCCTGCATGTCACCCTGGGCCAGGCCAGGCGCAGGTGGTGAGAATAAGAATGCTCAATTTGGTGCAGCCTTTAGCTGGTGCCTACTTAGTTTGGGCTACTTTGTGATGAGGTTATTTTATGCCAGGCTTTCTTTTCTTTTCTTTTCTTTTCTTTTCTTTTCTTTCTTTCTTTCTTTCTTTCTTTCTTTCTTTCTTTCTTTCTGAAGTAAATACTTTCTTTTGAAAAAATAAGTAAAACTAGAAAACCTTGTTCATTTTAGTGAAGAATATAATTTCTAATTGTAAAACTGTCATTTTGTACCATTTTTTGATAAAATATCCTTAGGGTATATAGAATAAACTTTGTCCCTCCACATATTGTTTTCATTATTATTATTATTTACCTAAACCAGTCAAGGTGAGGTACTTGAGTATATTTACTTCCTTATTGCAATTATACTGCTAAATGTAATTTCTTCTATGAAAATATTCTCAAAATGGCCATTATTTCTGAATCTATCACACAGAAAAGTTCTAACTTGCTTTTTGAGAAATCAGTAAAGCAGGGGAAAATGTATATGATCCGATGAACATTTGTGCATAATTTTACTTTATTATTTAAAATGGATATTATTTTCAAAAGATCTGAGTTTTCTTTATTTCGTTATACATTTTTCCCCTTTTTAATGTATTGTGGGCATATCAGAGAGTTGACAGTGGCTTTGACTAAGTATTGGGAATTGTATTCAACTTCATGCCCAGAAATAAACCTATTAGTGTTTTCTCAATTAGTATATTAGAAAATTAACACTTTAAGCATTATTAAAATGATGAATTTTATCTTAAAAATCTTTCCTGAGAGAGTTGATATATGAGTACAGTCTAAGCAGCATTCTTGCCACTCATTTTTTAAAACTCCTTAGTACACATGGGTCATGTTAAGTTAACAAAAAAGGTAAATAACTGCACTGAATTGCCTTTACCTATAGAAAATTTAAAAATTTTTACTTCAGCGTCTATAAAGTGTCAATAAAAAGGGTAAATAATCCATATAATGATGTTGAAAAATTACTTTGAAGGACATCTTTTATTAAACTTGTCGTTATCTCTTGTAAATTTTTGAATACATCCATGTGATAATATTCACAGATGTATCAAAGCCTCCATCTGTTATATGAGAGCTATTAATCCAGTATGGTTCTCTTTATGTCTGGCTGCTTCGAAGTTGTGACAAGATGTCCTGTTCTATATTGCAGTTACATTATTTATCCTGTAATTTCTAGATTGCAGATTTTTAGTATTTTACTTGTAGTCTCCTCTTTTCTCCACCCATCTACCTTCCATCCATATTACACTTACTTTTATGTTTTCTTTAGATTGCCTTTCATTTAATATGTGAGTGTTCAAATCATTTTGGAAGTAGAGAAATAATTACTTAATTTATGTAAAATTAAAAAAAATCCTTTTTAAAAATAGGGTTTATTCACATCATATATCCAACCATAAAAAATGTGTTGTCTCTATTCTTAATTGGCTTTTATTATGTTAACTACAAATTTTAGGTTACATGCATAACACAACATAGATATATAATTTTGTTAACACTTGTTAGCTATTTTCCCATAAAACAAAGAGAAAGAACTTTCTCTGTGTAATTGTTTATCTACAAATTACATGTATATTCATTATCAAATATTTTCAAATGGAAATCACTGTTTTTATTGATAATATACATAATACATGCTCATTGTTTAAAAAATGTACACAATGCAGGCGTTTATAAAGAATTAATTATAAAGAATTAAATTCCCACAGTTCAGAGATAACCACTATTAATGATTTCATTGCATACATATACTTTTTTCCTATGTAAACACACTCTTTTACAATCAACAAAAAAATACTATATGTACTATTTTGTGTTTCTTTAAATTTTAAGCTAAAAAATATCAATCTGTATCATCATTTTAGTGACTGCATAGTATTCCATTGCGTGCATGTACTATAGCTTATCTAAGTAACGCATTGAATAATACTTACATGTTTTCCAGTGTTTTCTACATTTGTAAACAACCTTGTGATGAACTCCCTTGCTTAAAACAGTATGAGTTATATGAACTTGAGGAAAAGTATCTATACCATGTAAAAGCTTAGGTCTGCTAAAAATTAGAATGCACATTATATTGATATATGTATCAAAATTCTGAAAAACATTCAAGATATATTCTTTACTTAAATTGACAAAAGTAAAACTAAAAACTAATGGGATATAATTTTCATATTTTATGAGCCCACTGCTTTACATAATTGTGACCATTAAAATATATGAAAACAGTGCAACCTGAAATAAATTTAAAATATCTACATTGGTAATTACTTACTATATGCACTCTCTATTCCTTTTTACCAATTACCAGTTTTTATTTGAATTTATAAACTTGAAGTGTTAGTGTTAACCAGAACCTTTACAAATGCTTTGAATCAGTATAAATCATGCAAGATTTCTAGAAGGTAAAAATCTTCAAGTATAAAAGCATTTAATACATTTGAGGAAATTATTTAAGTATTTAAATAATTATTATTTTTAAAAAGTTAGCCATTACAAATAAAGGAATAATTAAAATATGCCCAAGTACAGATAAATTATATGTTAGGACACTGCAAAGCAGTAAAAAACAAAACAAAACAAAACAAACCTCTGTAAATTCAGTTGGTAAAAAGAAAGGGAAAATTATAAAGGAAAGATCATCTCTATTTGAACACAAACACCTGGGTAATTTTTCAATCTTGTACTTTTCATTTTTAACTACATTTAATAGACTTATAATTAAGGTTTTCAAGGGGGAGCAAAACAACTGAACAGCTTAAATTTGTGAAAAAAAAACAGTAAAAATAGGATATTGTTCATTTCCTAGCGCAAGATAATTAGTAAATTAGTAAAACTATACTGTCAATTGTCATGGTAAACTTAAGAATGGACTATTTAATACAAGTTTTGTTTGTTTCCCCCAGCCTTTTTCAGCTTTTCAAAACAGTCACTGTACAAACTTCAAATGTGCCCAGGAGAAGAAAATTAAGAACATTGCTTTGTGATTGTAAACCATCATATTAAAAGTTATTCTGGTGAGACTATTCTGTACAAAAAACTTCTTCATATACTGTTGCCTTTCTGGTTGTATCTATGATTAAGGGGACAAACAAAATGTTACATGTTAAATGATATTTTCAGTACAGGGGAAAATGTAAGAATACTATGTGTTTAAGGGAATATTTAGGAATGGTGTGAATGCCATCCTACCTATAAATAAATGGCTTTATTTAAGGAAATAGTTTAAAATGCATCAGTAAATTACTGAACATAGATGATATATGTGTTCCCAGCATCTACGTTAATACCTGGAATATAGTTAGCATTCCATGGTTGCTTGTTGAATTATCCCTCAATTTGTTTGTTTTTCAATTGTCTCCTCAGTATTTCACAGGAGAAATGAGTTATTACAGAATACGCCATTTTTTATCAAATTTCATCCCATAAAGAAATAATTGAGAGCTGATTAGTTACATAGATTGGCGCTTCTAATATGGTGTTACTGGTGACATAGACTAGTGCTTATCCTGTTGAGGTGTTATCAATACTTTTACACTTCTCATGATTTCCTTTTTTATTATTGTTCAACAATTTATTGATGAGTTTATCTTAGACAAAGCTTCTAATAATTGACATAAGTTAAATGAAAATATATTTGTATATACTTTTTAAATAAATTAATGGGATGTTGCTTCAAGACCAAGACAATTTCCACAAGGCCTTGTTCCTACATTAAATCAAGTGATCACAAGAATCCCTGAAAAACTAGTGCTTGTGCATGTGAAATTAATTGTTTCTTACATACTTCATGGTGTTACTTCCCAAGAAATATAACCTAACAAATGCTTTCTTTGAGATTCAAGAGAGTTAATATAACCACTTGGCTTCAAGGGATCATGGTCAGTAGTTAGAAATAATCTAGCTACCATTGGAAATCTGAGAAAGGCCTAACTCAATGTACAAATATTGAGGATATAATTTATATGAAACTTAAAAAAAATAACTCCAAGTACTTTCACCGTCAAAAGTCAAATTCAGTTTTAAAACATCTCCCATTTGGCACACAAAAATGACCAGTGTTCTCATTAAATTTCTCAACAGAAGTTTGGAGCCTTTGCATTTTATTTAATTAAGAAAATATTTAGTTCTTTGGAGAGACTTGCAAGAAAAGAGATGAGTGATGCTATTATATGTCATGACTGTCTCAGTTATCAGAGTAAATTAGTTTCTTTGTTTTAAAACTAGTAAGTGAAACACCAGGTGTTGGCATCTTTTCTATAAAAAAATAAGCCTTCTATAATGTAGAATAAATAATTTTACAAATTTTTGAGATTGATTTAAAATTTCTAAAAAGGTAAATTATACTTTTGGAAAATCAAAGACTTTTTAAATCAATATTTAGGAGCATTTGAAAATTAATTTTAAGCAAATTTACACAGGATTGCAAATGACTCCTTTTTTTATTAAATTAAAATTGACATACTAATTATATTAGTTTCAGGTGCACAACATATTGATTCAACAATTCTATACATTACTATATGCTCACCATGGTAAGTGTAATCACCACCTGTCACTGAACAATGTTATTACAATATTATCGACTACATTCCCTGTGTTGTATTTTCATCCCCAGGACTTACTTCATAACTGGAAGTTTGTACCTTTTAATACCATTCATCTATTTTACCCACTTCCAGTTTGTTCTCTGTATTTAAGAGTCTGTGTATTTGTTTGTTCATTTGCTTTGTTTTTCAGATTTCACACGTAAGTGAAATCATATGGTATTTGTCTTTGTCTGATTTATTTCACTTAGTATAATACTCTCTAGATCCATGTATGTTGTTGCAAATGGCAAGGTCTCATTTCTTTTTATGGCTGAGTAATATTACATTGTGTATATATACCACATCTTTATCCATTCATCTGTTGATGGACACCTGGGTTGCTTCCATACCTTAGGTATTGTAAATAATGCTGAAATAAACATAGGGTGAATATATTTTTTGGAATTAGTGTTTTCATTTTCTTTGGGTGCAAACAACTCCTTTATTTTTTTTTGTTTCAAGTTTTTATTTAAATTCCAATCAGTTAACATATAGCATAATATTAGTTTCAGTAGAATTTAGTGATCCAGTTCTCCTCAGAAGTGCCCTCCTTAACATCCATCATGCATTTAGCCCATCGCCCCTCCCACCTCCCTTCCAGCAACCCTCAGTTTGTTCTCTATAGTTAAGAGTCTGTTTTACAGTTTACCTCTCTCTCTTTCCCTCTTTATGTTCATCTGTTTTGTTTCTTAAAATCCACATGATTGACATCATATGATATTTTTCTTTCTCTGACTTATTTTGTTTAGCATAATACTCTCTAGCTCCATCCACTTCATTGCAAATGGCAAGATTTCATTTATTTCTATGCCTGGATAATATTCTAATATATATATATATATATATATATATATATATATATATATACACACTTCTTTGACTTCTTTATCCATTTATCAGTCAATGGGAATTTGGGCTCTTTCCATAATTTGGCTATTATTGATACTGCTGCTATAAACATCAGGGTGCATGTGTCACTTTGAATCAGTAATTTTGTATATTTTAGATAAATATCCAGCAGTGCAATTGCTGGATTGCAGGGTAGTTCTAGGTTTAACTTTTTGAGGAATCTCCATACTGTTTTCCACAGTGGCTGCACTGTTTGCATTCCCACCACCAGTGTTAGAGGGTTCACCTTTCTCCATCTCCTCAACAACACCTATTGTTTCCTGTGTTTTAAATCACCTTTCTGATTTCACTTAGCATAATACCCTCCAGTTCCATCCACGTAGGGTATTATGCTAAGCGAAATTAGTCAGAGAAAGACAAATATCATATGACTTCACTCATATGAGGACTTTAAGACACAGAACAGATGAACATAAGGGAAGGGAAACAAAAATAATATTAAAAACAGGGAGGGGGACAAAACATGAGAATCCTAATATGGAGAACAAACAGAGGGTTACTGGAGGAGTTGTGAGGGTGGGATGGACTAAATGGGCAAGGGGCATTAAGGAATCTACTCCTGAAATCATTGTTGCACTATATGCTAACTAATTTGGATGTAAATTTAAAAAAATTAAAAAAAAATCACCTTTCTGAGGATTTTGGGTAGACTACATCCCTGAACAGAACTACACACAGAGAAGAATTTGCAAGCTTTTTTTTCCCAAAGCTTTAGGGAACCCAAAGAATCTCCCTAGTTAATTTTATTGCACAAAAATTTATTATATGTTAATTTCCTTACCTATAGGAGTAAATACCATATTTTTTTGTGTGTGTGTGATGAAGAGAGGCCCGTTACATTATGGCAGAGATAGTGGCAAAGTAATGCAAATTAAGATGAAGAATATGTTTTCCTATTCATTAAAGAGTTGTTTTGGGGGCTCAGTTGGTTAAGCTTCCAACTTAAGTGTCTCAGGTCATGATCATGAGGTCAGTGAGTTCTAGCCCCATGTCAGGTTCTCCGCTGACAGCTCAGAGACTGGAGCCTGCTTTGGATTCTCTCCCTCTGCCATCCCCCTGCCCTCTCTCTCAAAAATAGATAAACATTAAAAAATAATTTTGTTTTAAATATGGGATTTATGAATTAACCCAAGAATAATTAAAAGAAGAGATATAGATAAATAAAGAAAATATTTAAATGTTATAAATATTTAAAAATAAGGGCAGTACATGTCTGCCTGGCTTGATATCTACTTTAAGTTGAAGCATGATGAATAGTTTTCATTTAGTTTGTATGGTTATTCTTAATACTTATTTGACTACTACAGTAATAGTAAACCTTAGGAAACTTTCATTTGTAAGTGAATTTCCTAAAAAGAAAATCATCGGTACTACTCTACTTGTCTATACTCACTTACCTCCATCACCTAATCTCAACTCCATCTTTTGCTGAACACAGAAGCTTTTATAAGGCATTTTTAGTTTATGTAGTTTGTCTAAAAATTATCTAAAACATTTCTAGTAGAGGTGTGTGTGTGTGTGTGTGTGCATGTGTGTGTGTGTGTGTGTGTGTGTGTGTGTGTGTGAGAGAGATATTGTACCATTTTGTCAAGATTAAATTTCAGGACTTGCATGTTAAGCCACAGTAGAGAGTAGGATATGTAAACTGTTTATATATAGATGAATGTATCTAGCTGAAGATATTATTTTTAAAGAAAATGTACCATATAAAAATGATGTTAATTTGTTAATTAAACCAACAAAAACTATGGGCTCTGTTTAGAATTGTGCTTTCATGCTGTACACATGTTCTAGAGCATCTGAGTACCGAAGACTGGGTAATACAAACAGAAGTATATATTGCTAATGTGGTACAAATTTTGAGATGTGAAAGCCATATGCCAAGCATAACAAAAAATAATGCTAAGAGACACTGCCCAACTTTTCTGAAGTGGCAACTTAGGAAATGAAAATGAAACTATATGTAGCCCTTAGTTGTTTTATGGAGACATACCACAATAATGTAAACTCTTTCAGGCAAAAAATAAAAATTTATGAGAAGATACAGTTTTCTAAAACTTCTATTATATTTTGATAAAAGTAAAACAAACTGTGAAGATTGAAAAACAAGTATGAACTAAGTATGTTTCCCCCTTTAGTATCCAAAAAAAAAAAAAAACAGTTTTACTTAGGCAGAATAATTTTCTTAGACCACTGGGTCATTTGCACTTTTTATTTTTAGTTTGTGGGAGATGTATATATGTAATATATTTTCATGATCAAAAACAAATATATCTCCTCAAATATCCTATTTATAAGGTGATAGGTAAACTGGAAACAATGTTACAACTTTTCCTCAGCAGCAAGTTTCATCACAGAAATCATTCAAGGTGGGTTACTCATACAAGTAATTGCAGGTTTGAATTTTTTTTCTCTAATTTGGGGCCAAGAATTTATGACTATGGGAGTTGTATTTTAATTCATCTGGGATCATAATTTTTTTAATTTTTATTTTTTTAGATTTTAATTTTTTCCCAACGTGTGGCTCAAACTCACAACCCTGAGATAAACAGTCACACACTAAGCCAGCCATGTGTCCCATGGGATCATACATTTTTAGAACACTGTCTGCTAGAACTGTTTATCTTGCTAAATGTGCAAAGACCACTTATCAGGTAAAAATTGAAAATGTTATTAAGTACTTGAAATAATATGGAATTTGTCCATAAAAACAAGATTAAAGTTCATTAAATAAATAAGAATACTATATTTTTTTAAATTTTTTTCAACGTTTTTTATTTATTTTTGGGACAGAGAGAGACAGAGCATGAATGGGGGTGGGGCAGAGAGAGAGGGAGACACAGAATCGGAAACAGGCTCCAGGCTCCGAGCCATCAGCCCAGAGCCCGACACGGGGCTCGAACTCACGGACCGTGAGGTCGTGACCTGGCTGAAGTCGGACGCTTAACCGACTGCGCCACCCAGGCGCCCCAAGAATACTATCTTAAATAATTTTAGTCACTCTTAGGAATTCATCACAGATAATAATTTCAGATGAATTGAATACACATATTTTGAAAAACAAGAAATAGAAAAATAATAATTAATATTTTGTCTCCAGAGAGAGAGAGAGAGCTTTTACAAAAATATGTATAAGTGAGGATTGGATACAAAAGGGGAAAAATCATGGAAATCTTTCACAACTACTCAGAGAGGGAAGCCACTTTTCTCTGGAGCACCATTAGTATAAACCAAAAAGCAATGAAAATGTTG